GAGATGAGCTCCTCCAACACCACAGGCAGTTCCTTAGCTGCAATCTTGTCCTTCAATGTGTCAGAAAGACCATGGGAAAACGCAGCCACCAGAGCCTCATTGTTCCAACCGACCTCTGCCGCCAGGGTACGAAACTCTATAGCGTACTCGGCCACGGTCCGTGAACCCTGATGCATGGTCATGAGCAGCTTGGCCGCCGAGGCGGAACGAGCCGGTACGTCGAATACCCTACGGAAGGCATCGACAAAACCGGAAAAATCTTGAATCACACGGGTTGTTCCTCTCCCATAAGGGATTTGCCCAGGCCAAGGCCTTGTCTGAGAGTAGTGAAATTAGGAACCCCACCTTTGACCTCTCAGTCGGAAAAACGTGGGGTATTAATTCAAAATAAATACCCACCTGGTTGAGGAACCCACGACACTGACTCGGCTCACCCCCAAAGCGCTGTGGAAGAGGGGCTGAACCAGTCATACCTCTGGGCGCCGCTGATGCAGCCGCCGAGGTGGTGGACGCAATAGGCGAAGAAGAAGCTGCGGAAGAGACCACCGGAGTGACTACCGGCCTAATAGCACCAGGATCAAGGTGTGCAGTGCGTGCAAGCAGAGTTTGCAACGCCTGAGCGAACTGATCCAACAGGTGATCCTGTTGATCGAGTCTGGCGACTAGCATTGGGAGCGAAGGCGTGCCTGCACCGTCAGGGTTCATGGCACTTGTGTAATGTCAGGGCAGGGGCCGAGGAACGGACAGGCAGGCCTAACAATGTAACGCACTGGCTGACGACAACCACCACCACAGACCGAAGTCCCTCAGGGCGTGGAGTCTAAGTCCCAGGCTGCCCTTCACCAGGGCCCCTGTTGGTGGGGATGGACTTGACGCAGCCAGGAACCAGGTCGCGCGCCCCCCGAGACACCTCAGCTGCGGTAATGGCCGCCGCCAATGGCGTGTAGCTGGTGGAAGAGACAAAAGAGTAGTCAGACAAGCCGGGTCAACAACAACAGGACAAAACAGTACAGGACAGCAGACGAGAATCACAGGTCACGAGCCGGGTTCAGCAACAGAGGGTCAGATCAAAGGAGAATACAAAGAATAGTCAAGTCACAAGCCGAATCAGATACCAGGAGAGTCGCGAGAGTCAGAACAGAGTAATAGCAACACAAAGACACAAGACACAAGTGCAAAGAGCATGTGCGGGCCACAGGCTTATATGTCATCAGCCACACCCCTCGGGGATGGACCTCAGAGACCTGAAGGCATAAAAGGATTCCCATCATGCACAGCAGAATCCAAGATGGGACGCCAGCACATGGAGTAACATAACCTCAGGGAAAAGGTAGGACCTTGACAGCACCCCCGCGTCATCTATTCATTCCATGCATTTCCCCTGGCTTCCTCCCCAAGCCAAATATGATTCTTATATGTAAATGCAGCGTACAGAATTGCCTACAAGAAGGAAGCTTGTTCATATCTCTGCAGCTAATATTTTGGCTTTTATAAGAGATTAAACATACTTCTTTGATGTTAATATTACTTATAGAGCTTTCCACAAAAGGCAGACAGTCTGTCTGCTGTCACTGGTTTTCCCAGAAGGTGATAACCTGATTGACACACAAAAGTTGTCACCTCCAGGAGGCGGGGCTTTAGACTAATTAATGCTAAATGATGATTGGGTCTGTAAGGCCTATGGAGTAATTGTGTATACATACACATCTGATCCCAGACCATTCCTTTGTACCATCTATTCATTTCCCTACTGCCCAGGGGGCTCAATGTACATCCTTAATGACCAGACTGTTCCTGCACACACCTTTGTAATGAAAGGGCGTGGCCTCATCTCATCTACTCACCTGTCATGGCTATGATACCATATTTCACACTCAAACCTTACATGTCCGTTACAATAAATTTTACATGTCCGTTACAGATATACAATGACATATTTCTACTGATCACATCTCAACTATCCGAATATTACATTTATGTTACAGTCCTGTCAGCCCCCACCCTGTCTGCCTTTAGGCGATCTTTGAAAATTCACTTATTCAGGGAAGCCTACCCCACCTCCACCTGAGAACTGTACTTGAATCACCTCCACCAGATCATTCCCCGCAGCTATCACCTTTTGTATCACCTCCCCCTTCCTTCAGATTGTAAGCTCCATGAGCCAGGCCCTCATATTCCTTCTGTACTGAAATGTATTGTGTAACGGAACCGGACCCCGACTGCGCTAGGGTATTTCTGTTAGACACCCGCTTCCCTGTCCGAACATTATCCACGGACACCACCGCTGGCCATACAGGACGAGACAGCACCAGGCTTCTTAAGACAGGAAGAGAAACTGCTTTATTTTAACACAAACACAAGATATATACACAGGGCGGGGAAATACACCCAGTAACAGGAAACACATTAGCAGGCCATCCCATCAGGGGGAAGGGCTGCCAGAAACACCCCCCACCAAACCAAGTGTCAGGGACCACGGCTCCATGGTCCGCGATCGCGGCTCCGTCCCTCGCGCATGCGTAGTGGCGGCGGATCGCGCCGGGACACAGGCACTAGGTCCCGGCGAGCCGCGGCTGACAGGACGCCGCGCATGCGCAGTAGGAGCCGCGGGCGCGCCTCAGGCGTCCAATGACAGCCGGGGGCGAGTCCTAGCCGGCCAATGACAGTGCAGGGCGCACTATTTAAAGATGCCCTGCACTGTCACAGATTGCCGCAAGGTCTTCCTCTGATCCTGAGTTCCTGCACCTATCTTGTGACCCTGATTGACCCTGACTACTCTGCCTGCTCCTGCGTTTGACCCGGATTGTCCTGACTATTCTGCCTGCTCCTGCGTTTGACCCGGATTGCCCTGACCATTCTACGGATTGACTTCCCTGCTGACCCTGCGTGTGACCCGACTACTCTCGCCTACCGATTCTGTACCCCGCCTACCCTCACGGGCCCTCGATCCATTACTACCCTGCTGGGGCCGCCATCCTCTTCATATCTGGCTCTCCCGGTACCTGTCCCCAAGGGTCTCCTCAGCCACTGGCGGGCCTGCTCGGAGGTCGTGACCTGGCCCGGGACTGTTTCAAGTCCATCCCCACCATCAGGGGCTCTGGTGAAAGCACAGCCCGGGCTTAGACCCCACGCTCTGAGTAGGTCTGTCAGTTGGCAGCCTGAGGCACCACCTGGCGGATCATAACACCAAGACACACAATAGAACAATGGGATACACCACATGGCAGCAGACAATACAGAAACACATGCATCCGATAATAGTTTGCTGGTACATAGCCTCTCTGTCTTCTCGCAACTCCTCCAGGGTAGGTTCTCCTTCATCGCCAAATACAAAATGATCTGTAAGGACCTCCCACAGCATTCCAGGGCCACCAAAGTCATATTCCTCCGGAGAGCACTCTGTTGTCACCCCTAAATATATTCCTGCTCTGCATACAATTGCAGAGCCCGATATCAGTTGTCCAGCTCTATCTCCTGCTGGACCAGCTTGTCCAACTCAGTCACCCATTGCTCCTGGGATCACTCTCCCAGGAATGGTATCTGTAACTTCCGATGGTCCCTGGCCCGTTCCCCTGGGGTTGGATAGCCCTTGCCCATATCAGCAACCTGAATTGCTCCTCTCCAAATCCGCTGCCTGAGCTCCAGGTACTGATCCGTAGACACAGTCCTGGGGTGTGTTGTAAGAACGGTCTGCAGCAGCCCTGGGAACTCTGATGCCAGGTCCATATCTCCTCTGAGGTGACCGATGTCTCCTTTCCTGATCTTGAATCACGGTGGTGGTTTGGACGTGTTCACAGCTTGGAAGCACAATCCCACCGCTGCCACCAATGTAACGGAACCGGACCCCGACTGCGCTAGGGTATTTCCATTAGACTCCCGCTTTCCTGTTCTAACATTATCCACGGACACCATCGCTGACCATACATGACAAGACAGCACCAGACTTCTTAAGACAGGAAATGGACTGCTTTATTTTAACACAAACACAAGATATATACACAGGGAGGGGAAATACAACCAGGAACAGGAAACACATAAGCAGGCCGTCCCATCAGGGGGAAGGGCTGCCTTAAACACCCCCCCCACCAAACCAAGACACACAATAGAACAATAGGATACACCACATGGCAGCAGACAATACAGGAACACATGCATCCCATAATAGTTTGCTGGCAAGCAAGACACAATAGAACAATGGAACAACCACATGGCAGTAAACAATGAACAACCCCCACACCCCACCTATACAGGTCTACACCATATCAGGACAATCCAGCCTGTACCCCTAAAAGGCACAGGGTGAATATGGGGGAGCAGAGACAGGGGTCCCCCACCCCCAAAAGTCACTCCCATCACATACTGTAACTGTACTATCTCCCTTATATTGTACAGCGCTGTGCAAACTGTTGGAGCTTTATGATATAATGATAATAATTATATTGATCCGTACAAACACTATACTAGTAATCAGTGGCCTATAGCGTGAGTGCGACAGTGTGCGGGCAATCTAACGCCAGCTGACCCTGGCTGGGAGGGGTACTTACTGACCCTGACGTTATCTGATGTCACTGGTGGCAGGAATACAGAGATCAGTGAAACATTCTATATACTGACACTGTACTAATGGCACTGGCTGGGTGACGGGGCGATCAAAGGGTTAAATGTGCTAATCTAACGTGTGTGTGTACAATGTAGTGCTTTTACTCGGTGCCGTGTTCTCTCTTCTCGACGGGGGGGGGGGGGGGGGGGCAGCAGTGGGGCGTAGGCACGTTCACAATCCAAAGCAGAAAGGTTAGGCGCTTCGCCCAGAGTCGCTGATAGGTCATCAGGTGGTCAGCAAGTACTTGAAAAAAAACCCTTAAAAAATGTTTGCTTTAGATCTCAATACAGTATTTTTGATTTTATTTAGTTATTGTTTAAATTTTTTTAATTTATTTCTTTAAAAATACTTTAATCAGAGAAGTACAATGTTACCATAATAACATTGTACTACCCTGGGGGGGGCTGATCAGGGATTACCGTATTTTTCACTCCATAAAATGAACCTAGATTTTAGGACTGCGGAGATAGTACAGGAGATGATCAGAGACTGCGGACACAGTACAGGAGATGATCAGAGACTGCGGACAAGTACAGGAGATGATCAGAGACTGCGGACATAGTACAGGAGATGACCAGAGACTGCGGACATAGTACAGGAGATGACCAGAGACTGCGGACATAGTACAGGAGATGATCAGAGACTGCGGACACAGTACAGGAGATGACCGGAGACTGCGGACACAGTACAGGAGATGACCAGAGACTGCGGACATAGTACAGGAGATGATCAGAGACTGCGGACATAGTACAGGAGATGATCAGAGACTGCGGACACAGTACAGGAGATGACCAGAGACTGCAGACACAGTACAGGAGATGACCGGAGACTGCAGACATAGTACAGGAGATGATCAGAGACTGCGGACACAGTACAGGAGATGATCAGAGACTGCGGACACAGTACAGGAGATGACCGGAGACTGCGGACATAGTACAGGAGATGACCGGAGACTGCAGACACAGTACAGGAGCTGACCAGAGACTGCAGACACAGTACAGGAGATGACCAGAGACTGCGGACATAGTACAGGAGATGACCAGAGACTGCAGACATAGAACAGGAGATGACCAGAGACTGCAGACACAGTACAGGAGCTGACCAGAGACTGCAGACACAGTACAGGAGATGACCAGAGACTGCGGACATAGTACAGGAGATGACCAGAGACTGCAGACATAGAACAGGAGATGACCAGAGACTGCGGACATGGTACAGGAGATGACCAGAGACTGCGGACATGGTACAGGAGATGACCCAGAGACTGCGGACATAGTACAGGAGATGACCAGAGACTGCGGACACAGTACAGGAGATGACCAGAGACTGCGGACATGGTACAGGAGATGACCAGAGACTGCGGACATAGTACAGGAGATGACCAGAGACTGCGGACACAGTACAGGAGATGACCAGAGACTGCGGACACAGTACAGGAGATGACCAGAGACTGCGGACACAGTACAGGAGATGACCAGAGACTGCGGACATAGTACAGGAGATGACCAGAGACTGCGGACACGGTACAGGAGATGACCAGAGACTGCGGACATAGTACAGGAGATGACCAGAGACTGCGGACATAGTACAGGAGATGACAGAGAGACTGCGGACACGGTACAGGAGATGACCAGAGACTGCGGACACAGTACAGGAGATGACCAGAGACTGCGGACACGGTACAGGAGATGACCAGAGACTGCGGACACGGTACAGGAGATGACCAGAGACTGCGGACACGGTACAGGAGATGACCAGAGACTGCGGACACAGTACAGGAGATGACCAGAGACTGCGGACACAGTACAGGAGATGACCAGAGACTGCGGACACGGTACAGGAGATGACCAGAGACTGCGGACACAGTACAGGAGATGACCAGAGACTGCGGACACGGTACAGGAGATGACCGGGAGACTGCGGACACGGTACAGGGATGACCAGAGACTGCGGACACAGTACAGGAGATGACCAGAGACTGCGGACACGGTACAGGGATGACCAGAGACTGCGGACATAGTACAGGAGATGACCAGAGACTGCGGACACAGTACAGGAGATGACCAGAGACTGCGCGGACACGGTACAGGGATGACCAGAGACTGCGGACACAGTACAGGAGATGACCAGAGACTGCGGACATAGTACAGGAGATGACCAGAGACTGCGGACATAGTACAGGAGATGACCAGAGACTGCGGACACAGTACAGGAGATGACCAGAGACTGCGGACACAGTACAGGAGATGACCAGAGACTGCGGACACGGTACAGGAGATGACCAGAGACTGCGGACACGGTACAGGAGATGACCAGAGACTGCGGACACGGTACAGGAGATGACCAGAGACTGCGGACACAGTACAGGAGATGACCAGAGACTGCGGACACGGTACAGGAGATGACCAGAGACTGCGGACACGGTACAGGAGATGACCAGAGACTGCGGACATAGTACAGGAGATGACCAGAGACTGCGGACACAGTACAGGAGATGACCAGAGACTGCGGACACGGTACAGGAGATGACCCGGAGACTGCGGACATAGTACAGGAGATGACCAGAGACTGCGGACACGGTACAGGGATGACCAGAGACTGCGGACACAGTACAGGAGATGACCAGAGACTGCGGACACAGTACAGGAGATGACCAGAGACTGCGGACACAGTACAGGAGATGACCAGAGACTGCGGACACGGTACAGGAGATGACCGGAGACTGCGGACATAGTACAGGAGATGACCAGAGACTGCGGACACGGTACAGGGATGACCAGAGACTGCGGACACAGTACAGGAGATGACCAGAGACTGCGGACACAGTACAGGAGATGACCAGAGACTGCGGACACAGTACAGGAGATGACCAGAGACTGCGGACACAGTACAGGAGAGGTTCAGACCAGGCCCGGTCGCTCCATATTCCCTCCATAAGACACACAGACATTTTTCCCCATTGGGGGGGGGGGGGGGAGGGCATCTTATGTAGCAAAAATTACTTTTTCTTTTGTTTTACACTTTGCTCTGAACGGTCTTTAATGAGTTATTTTCATGTTCGGTTCAAGATAATAGTGACCTGTGATTGGCTGGGGCTGGTCACATGGTAGCGGGTGCAGTGATTGGGCCCATGTATCATGTGAGAGCTGTGGGCCAATCACAGCTCACCTGGAAGAGCAGCAGACTGGTATGATCACATGTAGCTGTCTCATGATCTTGGGGTCTTCATTCTGCGTGTGGGGAGCGCAGCGCGCCTGCTCCCCTGTGTAGCGCCCCCCTGTGTTGGTACAGCCAGAGTGACATACCTGCACATTGCTTTGCCTGTAGCAGTACATTGTCAGTGACACCTCGGAGCACAGGTGTCACACACAAGGCCTGCAGGCCGAATGCAGCCCTCCAGGCCATTCCATGTGGCCCTTGCACCTCTCCTGCAGGTACCCCCTTGTCTCCTCCCCCACCTTGTCTCAGCAGAGAGGATAATAGAACTCCTCTGCCAAATCTTGCACCTCTCAGTGCAGCTGCAGCCCCCCCTCATCTCTGCGTCCCCCCCCCCCCCCCCCCGTCTCAGCATTCAGCAGAATCTGGTAACTGACTCCACTCCTCCTCTGGTCCTCCTCCAGACCCTGCGCTATCTGCTTTCCAGCTCTGCCCCCAAAGGGGGTGTACGGTGATGTAATGGGGGGGTGCTCTGGACATCTGATGTAATGGGGGGGTGCTCTGGACATCTGATGTAATGGGGGGGTGCTCTGGACATCTGATGTATTTGGGGGGGGGGGGTGCTCTGGACATCTGATGTAATGGGGGGGGGTGCTCTGGACATCTGATGTAATGGGGGTGGGGTGCTCTGGACATCTGATGTAATGGGGGGGTGCTCTTGATATCTGATGTAATGGGGGGGGGTGCTCTGGACATCTGATGTAATGGGGGGGGGGTGCTCTGGACATCTGATGTAATGGGGGGGTGCTCTGGACATCTGATGTAATGGGGGGGTGCTCTTGACAACTGATGTAATGGGGGAGGGGTGCTCTGGACATCTGATGTAAATGGGGTGGGGTGCTCTGGACATCTGATGTAATGGGGTGGGGTGCTCTGGACATCTGATGATGTAATGGGGGGGGGGTGCTCTGGACATCTGATGTAATGGGGGAGGGGTGCTCTGGACATCTGATGTAATGGGGGGGGGGGTGCTCTGGACATCTGATGTAATGGGGGTGGGGTGCTCTGGACATCTGATGTAATGGGGGAGGGTGCTCTGGACATCTGATGTAATGGGGGGGTGCTCTGGACATCTGATGTAATGGGGGGGGGGTGCTCTGGACATCTGATGTAATGGGGGGGGGGTGCTCTGGACATCTGATGTAATGGGGGGGTGCTCTGGAAATCTGATGTAATGGGGGGGGTGCTCTGGACATCTGATGTAATGGGGGAGGGGTGCTCTGGACATCTGATGTAATGGGGGGGGTGCTCTGGACATCTGATGTAATGGGGGGGGGGGGGTGCTCTGGAAATCTGATGTAATGGGGGGGGTGCTCTGGACATCTGATGTAATGGGGGAGGGGTGCTCTGGACATCTGATGTAATGGGGGGGGTGCTCTGGACATCTGATGTAATGGGGGGGGGGTGCTCTTGGCATGTGTGATGTAATGGGGGGGGTGCTCTGGACATCTGATGTAATGGGGGGGGGTGCTCTTGGCATGTGATGTAATGGGGGAGGGGTGCTCTGGACATCTGATGTAATGGGGGAGGGGTGCTCTTGGCATGTGATGTAACCAGCCTTTTGAGGGCCACAATAATGCTGATAGGGCCCGCCATGCCTAATGCCTACCATAGACGGGTAAAAAACGGCCGATTTTCACACCATTAGTGGGTTAATTGGTCGGCTGTTTTTCGGGATTTTGGCACAATTTTTTCATCTGTAAAGTTGGGAAATTTGCGGCCCGATCGTTTTACCGATTAAAAAGACCTGCAAGAGGAAGAAGAATTCCAGTCCGCTGTTATATTTTACATGAAAAGTCTTGCGGTTGCAACAATGTATCTATTTGTATCCATTTGTATCCATTTTGGATACAGATGTTTTTATTCGGATACAAATGGATACATTGTTACAACCGCAAGACTTTTCATGTAAAATATAACAGCCGAGCTCTCTGCAGGGACAGAAGTCATTAAATGTCAACCGTAGATGGGATGAAAATCGGCCATTTTTTTTTTTTTTTTTTTTTTAAATTAAAAAACGTCCGTTTTTTTTGACCCGTCTATGGCCCTGCATTAGAGTATAACTAAGTTCTGGATGGAGGGGGAGGGTTGAGACCCCCTGTCAGTGTTGGGGAGAGGGGGAGGGGTGAGACCCCCTGTCGGTGTTGGATGGAGGAGGAGGGCTGAGACCCCCTGTCAGTGTTGGGGGAGAGGGGGGCGGTGAGACCCCCTGTCGGTGTTGCATGGAGGAGGAGGGCTGAGACCCCCTGTCGTGTTGTTGGGGAGAGGGGTGAGACCCCCTGTCGGTGTTTGGGAGAGGGGGAGGGGGTAAGACCCCCTGTCTGTGTTGGATGGAGGGGGGAGAGACCCCCTGTCTGTGTTGGATGGAGGGGGAGGGGTGAGACCCCCTGTCGGTGTTGGGGAGAGGGGGGGAGGGGTGAGACCCCCCTGTCTGTGTTGGATGGAGGGGGGGAGAGACCTCTTGTCTGTGTTGGATGGAGGGGGGGAGACCCCCTGTCGGTGTTGGGGAGAGAGACCCCCTGTCGGTGTTGGGGAGAGGAGGAGGGGTGAGACCCCCTGTCTGTGTTGGATGGAGGGGGGGGGAGAGACCCCCTGTCTGTGTTGGATGGAGGGGGGAGAGACCCCTGTCTGTGTTGGATGGAGGGGGGAGAGACCCCCTGTCTGTGTTGGATGGAGGGGGGGAGAGACCCCTGTCTGTGTTGGATGGAGGGGGGAGAGACCCCCTGTCTGTGTTGGATGGAGGGGGGAGAGACCCCCTGTCTGTGTTGGATGGAGGGGGGAGAGACCCCCTGTCTGTGTTGGATGGAGGGGGGGAGAGACCCCCTGTCTGTGTTGGATGGAGGGGGGAGAGACCCCCTGTCTGTGTTGGATGGAGGGGGAGAGACCTCTTGTCTGTGTTAGGGGGAGGGGGGAGACCCTCTGTCAGGTTTGTATTGCCGTCTGTGCCCCCCGGTAGGGAGATTCCTCTCTATTTGTCCCGTTTTACTGTTTTCATTGAAAATAAATATAGAATCCCAGATTTTTGGGTTGTCCCCAGAACAGGAATAGAGGGGAAATCTTCCAATGGGGACTTCCTGCTTAGGCCACGGGACAGGAAGTGAAGGGAAATCTCCCCCAGCGCCATTGCATAACACATGACACAGACACGGTCCTCGGTTGTCACCGTCAGGAGACCCGCCCTGAGAAATGCCGGGCAGACACCGCTGGGGGACATGTAGACAGGAAGTGGCTGCAGGAGATCCGCGGGACTCGAACAAAGGAGACAGAGATGTGGATTTTATTGTCAGCTGATGACACCCGGAGTAAGGAAGTGTCATCCAGGTGGATTTATACAACTAGAAATGTAAAGCAGATGTCACCCACAGGGGCCCCCGAGACATCCAGGAGGGGGGGGGCGGTACCTATGCAGGAGGTGCCTCCACATGGGGCAATGACTTTCCTGCCCCTCTATAGCACTGCATAGGTACCCCTCCCCCGCTTAGGGGTCCCAGAGTTGGAGGAAACCCTGCACAGGCCGCCGTACACCCAGACAATGTACAGGAACTCCTCCGTGCACACAGCAGGGGGGGCGCAGAAGGGACACCATGGGTGCCAGCGGAGGGCCTGTGGAGGAAGAAGAGGACGAGGTCAGGGTGGAGGAGCCCCCCACTCTGTGCCCCCCTCAGATCCTGGTGGAGATGGGGCAAGGCTCAGCTACCGCTCCTGACTCCATCTCCTGACCCCATCTCCTGACCCCATCTCCTGGCCCCATCTCCTGGCCCCATCTCCTGGCCCCATCTCCTGGCCCCATCTCCTGGCCCCATCTCCTGGCCCCATCTCCTGGCCCCATCTCCTGGCCCCATCTCCTGGGCCCCATCTCCTGACCCCATCTCCTGACCCCATCTCCTGACCCCATCTCCTGACCCCATCTCCTGACTCCATCTCCTGACTCCATCTCCTGACTCCATCTCCTGACCCCATCTCCTGACCCCATCTCCTGACCCCATCTGGAGGAGCTGCTGCTGGACAGGTAAGAGCTTGGAAGACTGGTGCTCCCTGAGTCCTGTCACACTGCCCCCCCCATCTATTTCGCTGCCTCCCCCGTCATGCTGCCTCCCTATCTGTCCCACTGTCCCCACCTTTTCCTTCTGCCCCCCACTTGTCCCCATCCTTTCCCGATGCCTCCCTCCTGTCCTCCTGCTTCCCCATCATGCTGCCCCCCACCTTTCCTGTTGTACCCATCCTTGCCCTCTGCCCCCACCTGTCCCGCTGCCCCCCCCCCGCCTGTCCCGCTTTCCCCATCTTTTCCCTCTGCCCCCCACCTGTCCCATTGTCCTCCTGTGTCATGCTGCCCCCTACCTGTCCCCCTCCTTTCCCACTGCCTCCCTCCTGTCCCATTGTCCTCCTTTGTCATGCTGGCCCCAACCTGTCCCCCTCCTTTCCCACTGCCTCCCTCCTGTCCTTCTGCTCCCCCATCATGCTGCCCCCCACCTTTCCTGTTGCCCCCATCCTTTTCCTCTGCCCCCCACCTGTCCCATTGCCCCCACATCATGCTGCCCCCCACCTGTCCCGCTGTCCCCCATCCTTTCCCTCTGCCCCCCTCCGGTCCTGCTGTCCACCCGTCATGCTGCCCCCCTCCTGTCCTTCTGCCCCCCACCTATCCTGTTACTCCCATCCTTTCCCTCTCCCCCCCATCTGTCCTGTTGCGCGCCCCCCCCATCATGATGTCCCCATCCTTTCCCTCTGCTCCCCTCTTGTCCTGCTGCCCCTCCTTTCCCGCTGCCCCCCACCTGTCCCACTGTCCCCATTATTTCCCTCTGCCCCCCTCCTGTCTCGCTGCCCGCCCATCACGCAACCAACCTATCCTTTCCCTCTGCCCCCCTCCTGTCTCGCTGCCGCCCGCCCATCACACTACCCCCCTATCCTTTCCCTCTGCCCCCCTCCTGTCTCGCTGCCCGCCCATCACACTACCCCCCTGTCCTTTCCCTCTGCCCCCCCTCCTGTTCTGTTGCTCACCTCCTGTCCTGCTGCCCCCCCACCTGTCCCACCCCCGCTGCCCCCCTCCTGTCCTGAAGGGGTGCATCTTAAGCAGAAGGGGGTAGGACAAATTTAGATGGGGGAGGGGGGGGGGGGTAATTGATTGTAGTCTTTCCTAGGGCAGCACAAAGCCGAAATACCCCGCTGGCACACAGGTGGGGGTTTCCACTGATCTGATTGGTTGGACCGCCTACAATTTTTATTGAAAAATGCATCTTTGTTTCATAATAAAAGACAATAGAAGTGAATAGTCATTAAAATGAGAAGAAAACGGTTCATACTGCAATCCAGCTCACCTCCAATCTAGAGACGTCCTCCTCGGGGCCGGATCTAGCCTGTCTGATGTGGGGGAGCAGTACAAAAATGCCAGGATGTCCCGATGCCCCCCCCTTTTGTCTTGGGTCCTTAGTGCGGGGGACAGAGGGAGGAGCTCAGCAGGCCAGGGACCAAGTCCATTGGAGGGGGGCACAACAGCAATCATGGTGGGGGAGGGCCACCCTAGCTCAGCAGTAAAAATGCCAGGATGGTGCACCCCCCCCTGATTACAACTGCAATCATGGTGGGGGGCCCCTCTAGATCTGGCCAGGGGGCTCCCCCTAGATCCGCCAATGTTCCACAGTACATTTTTCTGCCACTAGATGTCCTCAGTCTGATGTCATGCATCATTCAATCTGCTTTTTATGAGCCCAGGTAGTCCTGAACCCACCCCCAGCCTGTCACTCTGCTCTCTCCTCCTATCAGCATGCTTCTTGTCATGAACTGTTTGGCTCTGTCTCCCAGTCTGAGCTCTGCTGTACAGGGACCGTAAGAGGCTGATACCGGCTCACATTCAGGTACTTACAGCACTTGTCTGAATACAAATATCTTTCATGATCTGTTACTGATTACAGATCTGCAGTTTATGTCTTTTATCTCTGCTTCGAGCTTAGCCCCGGTCAGCTTGTCATGTGATCTGACAAATCGCTAAATCGCAGGACAAGTTGCACCCTGTTTGTGCATGAAGTCACATCTGTGTATGAAGCAGGGGCGGACTCATGGGGCCCCGGGCAATAGGGGATCATGGTGCCCCTGTGTCCTTGCCCAAACTCAAAAAAGCCTATGAAAAAGGTACCAAGGGCATCTCATGGGGCCCCCTACTGACCCCGGGCCCTCGGGCAGTGCCCGAGTTTCCAAATGGTCAGTCCGCCCCTGGTATGAAGCCTAACCTGTTTGCATGAAGCGTCACCTGTGTGCATGAAGTCACATCTGTGCATGAAGCGGCACCTGTGCATGAAGTCACATCTGTGCATGAAGTCACATCTGTGCATGAAGTCACACCTGTGCATGAAGTCACACCTGTGCATGAAGTCGCACCTGTGCATGAAGTCGCACCTGTGCATGAAGTCTCATCTGTGCATGAAGTCACATCTGTGCATGAAGTCGCATCTGTGCATGAAGTCGCATCTGTGCATGAAGTCTCATCTGTGCATGAAGTCTCATCTGTGCATGAAGTCACATCTGTGCATGAAGTCACATCTGTGCATGAAGTGGCACCTGTGCATGAAGTGGCACCTGTGCATGAAGTGGCACCTGTGCATGAAGTGGCACCTGTGCATGAAGCGGCACCTGTGTGCATGAAGCGGCACCTGTGTGCATGAAGCGGCACCTGTGTGCATGAAGCGGCACCTGTGTGCATGAAGCGGCACCTGTGTGCATGAAGCGGCACCTGTGTGCATGAAGCGGCACCTGTGTGCATGAAGCGTCTCATCTGTGCATGAAGTCGCACCTGTGTGCCTGAAGTCAAATCTGCTCACCACCTGCCCCCTCGACCCTATCCCCTCACAACTCCTACGACCTTCCTCCTCCTCCATCCTACGCTCCCTCACCCACATCTTCAATCTCTCCCTCTCCTCAGGCACTTTCCCCTCCCCTCTGAAACATGCACACATCACCCCCATACTTAAAAAGCCCTCCCTGGACCCCAATGACCCGAACAACCTCAGACCCATCTCCCTGCTCCCATTTACATCTAAACTCCTCGAGCGCCTCGTCTACACCCGCCTATGCTCTCACCTCAACGACAACAACCTCCTCGATCCCCTACAGTCCGGCTTCCGTCCCCTACACTCCACCGAAACCCGCCTTACTCAAACTCTCCAACGACCTGCTAACCGCCAAAGCTAATGGACACTACTCAGTGCTCCTACTCCTTGACCTCTCTGCGGCCTTCCACACAGTCCACCACCCCCTCCTTCTCAAAAAAACTACACTCCCTCGGCCTCAGAGATTCTGCTCTCTCCTGGCTCTCCTCCTACCTGTCACAACGCTCTTTCAGCGTTACCTACAATGCTACCACCTCCCCCTCACTCCCCCTCTCTGTTGGGGTCCCTCAAGGCTCTGTCCTCGGGCCCCTTCTCTTCTCCATCTACACCTCCTCCCTTGGCCAACTCATACACTCTCACGGCTTCAACTACCACCTCTATGCCGACGACACACAAATCTATCTCTCCACCCCCCACCTCACCCCCTTGGTCTCCACCCCCCACCTCACCCCCTTGGTCTCAGCCCGAATCACACACCTACTGAGCGACATATCAGACTGGATGTCGCTCCACTTCCTTAAATTGAACCTCTCCAAACCCGAGTTTCTTGTCTTCCCCCAAGCCTGGACACCACCCCCCCATTGACTTCTCCATCATGTCCAACAATGCCACCATCAAACCCGCCCCGCAGGCCAGAGTACTTGGTGTCATTCTGGACTCCAACCTATCCTTCCAGCCCCAAGTCCAATCTTTAACAAACTCGTGCAGACTCCGCCTCCGCAACCTGCAGACTCCGCCTCCGCAACCTGCAGACTCCGCCTCCGCAACCTGCAGACTCCGCCTCCGCAACCTGCAGACTCCGCCTCCGCAACCTGCAGACTCCGCCTCCGCAACATCACCAAAATCCGCACGTTCCTAACCCCAGAAACCACTAAACAGCTCATCCACTCCCTCATCATATCACTACTCGACTACTGCAACTCCCTCCTCACTGGCCTGCCTCGCCACAGGCTATCCCCGCTTCAGTCCATCCTGAATACGGCTGCCAGACTCATTCACCTTTCCAACCGCTCCATCTCCGCCACCCCCCTCTGCCAATCCCTCCACTGGCCTCCACTCAGTGTCCTCCACCCCCCTCTGCCAATCCCTCCACTGGCTTCCGATTGCGCAACGGATCAAATTCAAAATCCTAACACTGACGTACAAAGCCGTCCACCATACTGCCCCGAACTACATCACTGACCTAATATCCAAGTACCGCCCAACACGCACACTCCGCTCCTCACAAGACCTCCTTCTCTCTAGTTCCCTGGTCTCCTCCTCCCATACCCGCCTCCAGGACTTCTCAAGGGTGTCACCCATCCTCTGGAACTCCCTGCCCCAACCCATCAGATTATCACCTACTCTCCTCTCTTTTAGGCGCACCCTGAAAACCCATCTCTTCAGGGAAGCCTACCCCACCCCCTGCTAACTTGCCGACCTCCTCCACTCTTCCTACCACCCCATCCCCCACAGCTATCTCCTCCTGTACCACCATCCCTCCCTCCTAGATTGTAAGCTCCAAGGATCAGGGCCCTCGATCCCTCATGTTTTGCATTGTATTGGTATTGTTCTGTCACATGTTCTGTCCCCCTCTGTAATGTACAGCGCTGAGCCAACTATTGGCGCTTTATAAATACTGTATAATAATAATAATAATAATGAAGTCACACAGATGTCTTACAAGTCACACCTGAAGTCGCTCTGACATGCGACTTTGCAATCATGGCCTTCAAGGGAAGTCCGCACAATTTCAAAATGGCAGTCGTTGTGAACGCGGGCTTAGTGTCAGCACAGTATATGAAGATCTGAGCCTCTCCCATTGTGGGACTTTTGGCTCCCTGCGCTCATCAATCACGTGAGCCTTTTGCTGAACAATTCCCGGGG